CGTTATCGCGCACGCCAGAGACCTGCTACCGCCTCATCGATCCGCCGGGTGGGTTGGAGATGGGAGGGAGTGGCGGTGGCGGCGTTGCTCGACGGAGAGGTTGAGGGAGACGAGGCGGCCGGTAAGAGCTCAGCAGAAGGGCACCGGCAGACGGAGCCCGAGCATCGGCGGTGGGTGAATAGGGATGGGGCGGCGGTAACAAAGGGGAGAGGGAAGGGGATTTGGATAGAACGGGAGGAAGAAGAAAGTTGTAGAGACTGACATGTGGGCCCTATTGTCATATACTCAGAATAGAGAGGATGAATGGGAAGCTGTTGGAGTAAAATGTTGGAGTAAAAGACTGTTTGACTAGCCAAATTAGATGAAGAGTTAACCAAATAAATATTTGGAGAGTGGGATTTAGAGAGATTGTTGGAGTTGCTCTTACACGGTAGACATGTACATACACACACAGCACTCACAGTCACATATCCGTGAGGACATCCTCCAAGAGAATGTGTTCTCCCAATCACAGGCTCGAAGAGAGTTGCAGTTTCTTTCATACCAGTAATGCTAAACGGGAAAACTTTTTTTTTGTAGAAACGACATTTATTTCTACAGAAGCGAATCTCGGTCGCTCATGAATTTTTCAGATTTACCAATTTAACCAATTTATGCTGATTGCTATACGATATTCAAGGAAATTAGAGGGAACAAATCACATTTATATATGTCTAGGATAAAAACAGTTAAAAATGGTACCACTCAAACAGAAGCAGACACTTCATCGGGCAACAATTTCCATCACCATTTGCATTCCATATGCACTAGTTAAAACAAATCCAGCAAGCCTATCATTATCGTGCTTTCGTTTGAACTACATTGAGAAAAGAACATCCTCACTTTTCACACACACATTTCTCAAACTACTTTAAATAGTGTGTATGTTGCAAAAAAATTTTTAGCAAAGTTGCTTTAGAAAATAATATTAATCTATTTTTTGAGTTTAGAATAATTAATACCCCTCCATTTTTAGCATTGGTCAGTGCAAATTAATCATTGAGGAATGCATATACTACTTAATGAATCATATATTGATGACTCAACTCGTTTCATGTATATTATAACTTATGCTTTCATCTTCTCTCCTATCAGCATATGTTACAGTAACATAAGTAGCACATACATTATCTAATTTTATTACCCTTCTCTCATTGAAAACTTTGAACTCAGATTTAAAAATTTTATTAAAACTTTTAAAATATAGCTGAAAACTTTTAACTCATGTTTGAAATTTTTCAAAAATTTTAAGTCAAGATTTGAAAACTTTCGAATCGAATTTGAAAACTTTAAACTGGAGATTTGAAACTTTCAACTAATATTTGAAAATTTTCATCTAAAAATTCAAAACATTCACTTAAATTTAAAAAATTTATAACATATAGTTGAAAAATTTTAACTCGGGTTTGAAATTTTTAAAAAATTTTAAGTCAAGATTTCAAAACTTTCAAATCGAATTTGAAAACTTTATACTGATGATTTGAAACTTCCAACTAATATTTGAAAACTTTCATCTCAAAAATTCAAAACATTCACTTGAATTTAAAAAACTTTAAACTCAAAATTGAAAAATTTTAACTGCACTCAATTGGAATGAGTCTGAAGAACACTTGCCCCCCTCACCGTCTCTGTGTCGACTCTGACATTCCCATCCACTGTTGGGTCCCTGCTTCATTGCGGGTGTCAAATGACTCGAACAAATACAACCAAAATATGAAACAAGAGCTTCTCTTGATCCCAGGATTAGGCGTGCACGCTATTTGGCACCGGGATGCTCACTTCGTGCGTAATCGCACTAGGAGCACTAGCCGCCATGGCCCAAACGAAAGTCAAAAGACATCTAGCTCTTAGTTTGATTGGACATCTAGGTTATATTTGTATCGGTTTCTCATGTGGACCTGGTTTCTTGCATTTGCATATGGAACAAGTCCTCTTTTCGGAATTTTTTTTCTAGTCATATCGATCCAAATAAATCAGTCTTTCTACATAGGTCAATCTTTTCGTATTAGGCAAGAGGATAGCAAGTTCAAAATTCTGTCTCAGTAGGAGAAATAAGAATAATAATAATGTAATAGGAAAGAGCGTAAACTCTATGTCAATTTCTAGAAGTGCGAGTTTATGACTTCGAGTCTGGTTGTGGTACATCATTTCTGACGAAGGCATCAAGGCTGAAGAATGAACGTGTTCAAGGGCTATCGGAGAAACATAGATAGGGTCAACCACGGAACGAACAATGAAACTTTAAGACATGTTTTTCGTACACGTTCACTTGCATCACATACACAAGTGCTCTCTAAACCCTGCAATAAGGTCACCCATAGCACGGGGAGTTACCTCAACCCCCGGGCCATGATATTGGAGGACCAACGGGTCACACGACAAGTGGACGATCGATTTTTGTATGATCCATATCCTTCGGCTCTTCGCCTGTAGGTGGCTTGGCGTGCAGGTCGTCGATCTTTTAGCTCTTTATCGGCGTGGAGAAAAAATCAGAATATTCGGGAAAAGATTTATGCTAATATGGAAAAGGGATCATCAGCTAAGGTTGTGATTGGAGCTAGTGCTATCCATTTACATAATGAGTATACAAATTATCTAGTTGTATAATCTGTGCAGAAGGTAACGAGAAAAGCCATTTCTCGATCCCCAATAATCAAACTTTCATCCTTTTGACGATATCCGCTATCGTCGAGAGAAACCTTAAATCTAAAACTTTTAACTTAAAATTTACACGTAATTAAAAAAATCATGAAAAATCCGCACGAAGAAAATCACGAAAAGATTATCGCGCGTGATTAGGAAAAGGAAAAAGTACACCGAAGGTCCCTCAACTTGTCATCAAGTTACAAAATCGTCTCTCAACCATAAAACCAGATATATCACATCCCTCAATTTTACAAAACCGTTCACTTTAGGTCCTTCGGTGTTTTTCACCCCGGTTTTATCCGACGTGGTGGCTGAGTCAGCATGGGACCATGTGGGCCCCACATGTCAGGATGCCAACTCATCACCTCTCTCTTATTTCCCCTCCTCTCCCTTTCTCTCTTTCTCTCTCACTTTTCTCAGGGCGGCCGGTGGGTACGGAATGCCGAGGAGGTTGCCGGGGCAGTCGCCGACGGGCGGCGCTGTGGCGACTGATTTGGCCGGGGGCGCAAAGGAGGGAGGCGGTGCCTAGTTTTGGAGGGTCCTCCCCTCTTCTATCCCTTCTTCCTCTCTCTCTCTTCCTCGCTTTGGCGGGCCGATCAGTAGGAGGAGAAGAGGTCTGGTGGCCGGTGATGAGCAACACGATGGCGGTGGCGACTTTGTGCGGTGATGACAAGGATGGGGTCGACCTGTAGCTACAGCGCTGCCTTTCCCCACAACGTAACTCCCGCAGCAAGTGCACGCGAAGAGGGAGGAGGCGGGGAGGCCAGAAACGGCCCGTTCCTCGTCGTCGTCGTTCTACAGCTACGCAGGCCGCCGGACCTCTTCTTCTCCCCTCCCCTCGGCGACGCGCGGTGGAGGAAGCCGACGCCGCCAACTGCGCCCTCTTCTCATCACGCGCCGGCGCCGGTGCTCCAGTCCGGGAACCAGCGGGGGACGCGTCCACGGCATGAAGCGCCCCCAAATAGCGCTCCCCGAGGGCGTCATGGTATGGGCTCCTGTCGATCTCATCCTCCATGCCGAGATGGGCGGCGGCGTGAAGCTGAGTAGGGGGCGGGCGCCACCGGAGTTGGGCTGGGACGGCGCACCAACAGCAGCCACTGACACCGTGCTCGCCTGCCACCACCGAGCTCAGTTGAGGGCTGGGAGCTTGGCCTCCGTGCCCACCACCGGCCGCCGTCACGACGCCGTCCTCCTCCTCTCCCACCTCGCTCCGTCGAAGCCCGCGACGCCCGCGCCGTGGAGCTCCGCTAGGCTGCTGCCGTGCTTCCCCACCGCCGGCCGTCGCGGCGCCATCCTCCTCCTCTCCCGCCTCGCCCCGTCGACGCCCACGCCGCCCGTCGACACCCGCGCACGCCCGCACCTCCCCATTGACGATGGGGGTGACGGAGGCGCTGCTCTCCCCGTCACGCCACTCTCCTTGAAGGCGGCCACGGCGCCGCCGGAGTACGAGATGCCGTCGATGAAGGAGTGGATCGTCTCCCGCGTGCTCACGCTCGTCTCCATGGTGGCGCTTCACCACCACCACAGCCACCAGATCAAGGCGACGACGTTGACTTGGCTCATCGTGAAGGCTACCCCGCCACCGAGGGACGGGGCCAAGAAGCTGGCCGCGGCGGCGTACTCGCCGCTCCTGCTGTCGCCATCAGTGTGGCAGGCGAGCGCGGTGGCGGCAGCTGTTGTTGGCGCCCTTTCGCCACCCAACTCCGGCGGCGCCTGCCCCCTGCCCAGCTTTGCGCCGCCGCCCGTCTTGGCCCCGAGCCTACCCGCTGAAGAAGAGAAAAGAGAAGAAAAGGGAGGAAATAGGAGATGACGTGGATAGTATGACATATGGGGCCCACGTGGGTCCCACGCTGACTTAGCCGCCGCGTCAGACAAAACCGGGATCAAAACCACCGAAGGATCTCAAGCGAACGGTTTTGTCAGCTGTGGGACGCTTAGTACCTGGTTTATGGTTGGGGGACGATTTTATAACTCGATGACAAGTTGAGGGACGATCGGTGTACTTTTTCCTTAGGAAAAATCACGCGAAAACCAATCTGCGACGCAGGTCGTGTGCAGCAGACAAATGGGCCTATCGTGGGCCCGCGCGGCCCAATTAGCTGCCTCCTCGCCTCCCCCCTTCTTCCTCCCAACTCCCAAAGTCCCAAGCGAAGAGAAGAGACTCACTCAAGAGAGCATTGAACACGAGCCACACCAACAACAACAATCCAAACCCACGCACACACTCTTTTCTCTCCTCTCCTTCCTGCCTCTTCCTCTTCCCATTCACCTCCCTCTCCCTATAAATCCTCTCCTCTCCTCTCCTCTCCTCCGCTACTACCAGTCTACCACCACCACCACCTAGACTGCTCCTAACCTCTCTCCCTTCCCTTTCATCCCCGAAGAGTCTAGAAGAGAGAGAGATGAATGGTGCTGTGGTGGGGTTGGGGGAGACGGCCAAGGGCAGCGGCGGCGGCGGCGGCGGAGGAGAGGTGACGCTGGAGACGCTGAGGAGGAAGATGTCGGAGTTCGCCAGGGAGAGGGATTGGGAGCAGTTCCACAGCCCCAGGAACCTTCTCCTCGCTCTGGTTCGTTCTCCCCCCCTTCAACCAATCTTGGATGGGTTCTAGTTCTAGTTCTAGTTCACCTTCTTCTCTTCTTGGTTTCTTTCATCTTCCTGTTTGGGAGAGGATTTTCTTTTTATTTATTTATTTATTTATTTATTTTTGATGTAGTGATTATCTACTATCTCTTTTATTGGTAGTATTAATGTTCATGATCTTTTGCTTGGTATCCATCTTCCTCTTCTTTCTTGGTGGGTTCTTGGTTCATTTGGTTCTTTGTCTCTCTTTTTATTCTTATTCTTTTTTTGGTTGCTGCATGAGTTTTGAGGGGTCAGAATGGGGCCTGGACTTCATTCCCTTCTTGTCTCCATCAGAGGAGATAGGGAATAAAAAAGAACAAGAAAAAAAATCATTGTGTGCAGTAGAGATTTGTACTATTTTGTCAGTTTTTCACCCTGTTTTCGCCTGTTCTTGTTTTTGCACTGCTACTGATTCTGCAGGCACGATGGGATTGGGATCTTCAAAATATTTCCACCCTTTTCGACAGCAGAAAGTGATGAGGTTTTTGTTGTTTATTTTTGTTGATGAAAGCCTGAAATGGTGTGAAATAAATGGGAAATATAATAAGTTGCCATGGATAATCTTTTTGATTCGATAATCATCCTTTCTGTGAACCAGTAGTATTACCTACCAAAATTGTCCTTCTCTGGATCATGAGAAAAATAATAATAAATAAAAGATACCAATCTCATCTGTTGTTTTTATGTGATAAGAGTCTGGTGTATGCTTTGACTCTAGAGTGGATTTGGAATTTCAGTATGACCTTAATTGTACAATTAGTCAATGCTTAAAGAGTGGAAGGAACTTGCTAATTAGGAATTTTATTGTGTGGCCATGCATTTCAAAGACATATATAAATGATGATCACCAAGTAGTACTACTGGTTCTGACATGGTCCCATGGTGAGTGAGTACTTCACAGTTTGTAACAGAGACAAAAATTCAGCCCCAAAGAAACAAAAATAAAAGAGATGTACCACTTTACAATATGCTTTTGCAATTGTCCTCACCTTATTTCATTTGTTATCCATCCATGAATATGTCCTTTTTTGTTTCTATTCTTGTCATATTCATGAGAAATTCATTCTCCAGTTATTAAGAATCTCTAGATAGCCTGATCCATCACTATAACTGATGTAGAATACTATGGGCTGGTTTGGTACGTCGCCTAAATTGGCCTTGCCAATATTTGTCAATTTCAATAGTGTTTAGTGTCTATTTTGTTAGAAGCCAAATTTTGGCATGCCTAAAGAAATAGTCCATTTCAATAGTGAAATTATGCTGTTTTGGCTTCAATCCAAACACAACTTTACCTTATCAAGATTAGCCATGCCAAAACTTATCAAAATTTGACATTGACAAAAATTGGTAAGGTCAATTTAGGTCACAAAGGAAACCAGCCCTATACTACTATAGTGATGTGCTGGAGAAAGCAGCCCACATACAGCAACAGTAACTGGAACCCAACATCCTTGTTTCTTTTTTTTTACCACCATGTGTTTTTGCAATGCTAGGCTGAGATCAGATAATGATGGCCACAACAAAAGGCAAATGCAGTCACCCTGACCAAGCTGGTCCCTGCACCTAGCATAAATGGCAACCTGCAGCTCATCCATGCTTACTGCATCTGCCTTCTGTGCACCATGTTCTGTGATACTGCAATTGACTGTTGTTGCAATGTGCAACCGTGATAATGTAAAACTGTAATTTTGACTGTTAGTGATCTTGGCAATGTGATGCAGGTGGGTGAGGTGGGGGAGCTCTCGGAGGTCTTCCAGTGGAAGGGGGAGGTGCCCAAGGGGCTCCCTGGGTGGGGGGAGAGGGAGGTGGAGCACCTAGGCGAGGAGCTCGCCGATGTGCTCCTCTACCTCATCCGCCTCTCTGACATGTGCGATGTCGACCTTGGCAAGGCAGCGCTGCGTAAGATGGAGCTCAATGCGCGCAAATACCCCATCGGGCAGTGCAGGGGATCCTCCAAGAAGCACACCCACTACTCCACCACCACCACCACCACCGACAACGGTGCTTCCGGTGATGACAACAACCGCAATGCTGGTGCCGGTGCCGATGCCGATGCCGGCAAGGAACAGTGCTAGCAATGGCTCCTCAGACAGTTTTAGCAGCCTGGCTCTGGTCTTTGGTCTTGTTCATCACACCATAGGATGTGTGTTGAAACAGTATTCTAGTAGAGTGAAATGAAACCGTCCTGTTCTCTCTACTGAGTTTGATTTCTTGAAGAAACTTAGCTCAAATCCTTTGTATTGGGCTACAAACATGCTCTGATAGCTATGGCAATATGATCATTAATATCTCATTGAATCGGTATGCTGAGCTCCTGATCCTCATGTTCTTCTGATTTTTTTTTCTGTAGCTGCATCTGATGCAGAACACCTGCATCAGCATTCAGCAGGTTATGACAAACAGTATTCGCATTTCAATTCATTCATCCATCAATCCATTTTCTTATACTCCTAACAATCCATTTTCTTATACTCCTAACCTTCAGTTCTTCTCAAAATATAACAACTTCTAACCTTCAGTTTTTCTACCAATATTCTTTTATTAATCAATCATGATCTTTCACCTCAAATATTTTACCTACCTCCTTTCTCAACTAATCATAATTTTTTTTCCATTTAATTTTACCAACTTTAATAGTATCCTATTGAATCTAAAACTTATATTTTGGAACGAATGTGATATATATTTTTTTCTGATATGTTCAATAATACTTCCCCATCCTAAAATAAGTCAATTTTTCATTCATCTCACACATACCAATACAAACACCAAAAAGAATAAAATGCCCCTACTTTATCAAATCCTAATGCGACTATTTGTCATTTTGTCTACTTTCAATATAATTATTTTCTACTTTCACTAATTTCAATATAATTATTACTTAAAAATAAATTTATTTGGAGAGAAATAGAAAAAGTAAAACCTTAACATGGGACAGAGATACTAGTACAGTAGTACTTGTGTTCTTGCACAGTTGGACACTGTATTTGGAGTGTCCATTGATGCTGTGTGCAGTTTGTCATTTGTGAGAAAGAGAGAGAGAGAGGTGAATGTCAGTGTGAAGGGGAGGGGGGGACCGGAGTGCTGTCGGCTTGTCTGCCGCCGGCTGTCGTCTTGGGGCGATGGTGGTGAAAGGAGGCTTTTTAAGCAGGTCAGGCTGGCCCATCATCGCTATCCGGGCACTGTGCTTGGAAGGTCAGCAAGTGGGTGTGGGCACGGCAACCTCGGCAAAATTCTAAAAGCGGGCGAGTGTAGCTCAGTGAGAGAATTAGGCTTACGCCTTGTCGATTCACTTGTTATAAGCTAGTAAAATTTAAAATTTTAATTTAGGGCTTATTGAGATTGATGATATTTTTAACCATACAATTATTTAGTAAAATTAATAATTATATTGTTACGTTTAGTTTGTTACTAAATATTGGCAATATATATAGAATTTTGGCAACGTTATTAAGCAAATCTTATCAAAATTTTGGCAATGTTGTTAATTTGCTAAAATTTTGGCATTACCAAATTTTGGTAAAATTTATTTTGGCACCAATCTAAACAGACTTTTAAAGTTGATTTTGTGGTTTTCATTGTAGTTTATTTTATGATATTTGTTTTCAGTTTTCTTCCTAATAAGCAGTACGGATAAGCATTCAGATAAGCATAGTGGGGCTTAGTTTCATTATGTTTCCCGTTACACTTACCGATTACACTTATGATGAGCACTGACTGATCCTAGTGGGAATTGCCTGCAGTACTACACTTGCAGTAGCAGCCACTGACTTATGGGATCAGGTTCACATGTTAGGCACTGCTGCTGTAAATGCTACTGAGGATCATGCATGTCCGACTGATCCACGCTAAATGACGAACACCAGTCGTAAATCTTTAATCTCAATTAAATTTTGTTAGCATTGCTTATGTAATTGTGGGCAATATGGTTTAAGACCATAGTGGTAGAGTTTACGCACGCGTTACCCCCCATATCGTGCTTTCCTAGTCTTAATTTCGGTTTTTGGTTATTCTGATATCCTTACTTTTTAGTAATCATAGAAAGGGGTAAAAAATGCGTTTTATTTAGAAATCAAATTAAGCTTAGATAATTTATGTTATGGGACTGCCATATCTCTTAAAATTTCTCCGTTTAAGTAATTCAAGAATAATCTACACCGAAGATTAAAAGAAAAGCCAAAAAAGATAAAAAAAAATCTCTGAAAAACAACTGTATCAAACAAGATTATCATAACCCACTCAATACCAAACAGATGTTCATGTTGCCATGTTGGTTTCAGGAGAATCAGATTGATTGAGAGCTGTGGTGCAAATAGGCCACACGTGTATGTGGTCACCAATAAGCAACACAATGACAATAGAATTAATAGAAACCCCTATACAGGGTAATTAATGATTACTGTCTCCAGTTAATGACAGTCGACCCAAATTAAGCTTTTACAGACAAAATTGTTGTTGCACCTGACAAACCTAAACCTAGCCGGCCATGACCTAATTACAGAGATTAGTTTAGCAATTAGCAGAGAGCACGCGGCGCTGTCATCAGGTCACCCTAGCGGCAGACACATCATCTGCGGATGCAAATGTACAGCTGCTTTATTAATTCTTTTTTCTTTGCGTCGTGATGGATGTCACGATCAGTGTAAAGCTAGCTAAACACAATTACAGTAGAGGCTAGATTTTGTGACATTTGTACATAGGGTGATGTGACATTTTGGTCAAATTAATCGGACAAGGCATGGGCCTAAACACCCCGTGCGAATCTTAGAGTTATTAACTATATTAATTAATACTGTAGTCTATACCGGCCAGCAGTAGTACGTGCGTGCTCCTACGAAGAGTCTCCTACTAATCAATGAGCATGGGCATGGCCGGTGGCCGTAATCATGTTGATCATATACTACCTCGTCCTAAATAAGTATAGCCGTAAAAATATCCATGTGCAATGTTTGACCGTCTGTCTTATTTAAAAAATTTATGAAATTTTTTTAAAAAAAGTCGCACATAAAGTACTACACTATTTATATTTTATCATCTAATAACAATAAAAATAAAAATAGTAATCACAAAAATTTTTCAAATAAAACGAACGTGAATAATATAAACTGCACTTATTTTGGGATAGAGGTTGTCGGAGATATGGGTCCGGGGTATGCAAAGTGAGGGGAAGTTACTTTCCCATCCAGCCACGTGGCTCTATAGCCTGGCCCTCACCCCGTGCCTCGTGAGTCACAGAAGCAGCCGGGGGGCCTCAGGGTGCCACGTCACGCCCCTCGGGCCCTCGCGCTACCTCGCCTCGAGGCCCTCGCCCAACTGCCATGTGGCGGGGGGAGCGAGCGGGGAGGAGACCCAGGCTGAACCGCCATTAATGCGTACGGCGCCCCAACTGTCCCTCACCGCGTTTAATACGGTAAGGGCAGACATGCGGTGCCGCTCGACTGACCCACGTCAATCGGGTGTGACCAGACTGTGACCGCCCTATCGCCGGTCACGTCCGATTGGACGGACGGCCGTGCCCCCACGTTCGCCTCTGTCTCCGACGAAGTGGAGGCAGGTATGTCCCGTCCCATCGGAGCATTATCCGGAGTTCCCTCCAAGTGAGGAGGACCGCCACAAGTCTTCACTCATTTAAGAGGGAATAACAGGGCTGTCCCCCGTGTTAGGCGGGGAGCGGCGCTGGGTCCCACTCAAGGACGGACTGCTGCTTAGCTTCCGGGCGAAGGCACGGATCATGGTCCGGTCGAGGTAAAGTGGGTCCCCCTCCCGTGAAAGAGTAGGTAGAAGCGGCGCATGTGGTATCCCCTTGAACTATAAAAGGAGGACCTTACCCACCGAGAAAAGGGACGACACTGAGTAGGCCTGAGCTCTAGAAGGAGAAGACCAAGAGCGCTCTCCAGAGTTCAGGAACCTTTGTAACACTCAACCATAAATCCCACACACAGGAGTAGGGTATTACGCTCCATAGCAGCCCGAACCTGTATAATCTTGTCGCCCATACGCGATCTAGAAACCCTCAGGGCGGATACACGATCTCGAGAGGCGAACCCTTTTCCCCGGCCGAACTCACAAATGGGGGATCTCACGATCTCTCGCTAGAGAGGATCACTCCTCGACAGAGGTAGTATGTTTCTAGCATTTCCTAAATGTACAAAATAGTATATATAGTACGAAAGATCGGCGATATATTCAAAGCGCCGAGTTCCACATGGAAATTCTAAGTTCTAACCCTTCCATAAACTTTACAAATACAATTAAGAAAAACCTTTCGCGAAAATAGACCCAAAACTCGGCACAAAATTCCTAGCTTTGTTATCCAGGTTAAATGTCTCAGGCGAAAAGACCTGTAGCCTAGTGGTTACAAGAGCCTCAGTAGCACCTGAGGTCCTGGGTTCGACTCCCCATGGGAGCGAATTTTTCAGGATTTAATGGCGTTGTACTTTCGGTGGTAGGCGACGTACCCGTCGACAGCGAGGCGCCTGTGGTGACTTCGTCAATCTATCAATCTATCCAGGATTTGCTGGGCCAGTCTTCGATTTAATGGCATTATACTTTCGGTGGTAGGCGACGTACCCGTCGACAGCGAGGCGCCTGTGGTGACTTCGTCAATCTGTCAATCTCTCCAGGATTTGCCGGGCCAGTCTTTAAAGATGCTCATAGGGGTAGGGTTTGCGTGCATGTGTTCATAGGGATGAGTGCACTCTAAACAAAAATTACCAATTATATTGACGCTGAGGCTACACGATAGGTGTCCATTATGGCTGATAACATGGATGAGCGTCAATATCTTCGGTGTCGAGGGTTGGCAAATAATCCTCTTGGGGTGACCTCCCACGTCCTCCAGATTTTAGGTCTTAACACTAAAAATAGAAACAAATTAAGGGAAGATAAAACATGTTACCCTGTTTTATCAATTCCTCATAAAATCCAATATGAGAAGAACATGATTTAAAGCGGGAGTGAATAAGCACGGAGAGGACCACATACTTGTCCCATATGAGGTCCTAATCTTAAATTTAAAATACAAATCAGGGGAAATGAATCAAAATATTTTTGCTTTCTTAATTTTTCCACGAAATTTACACCAAAGCAATAGGAATTGAAGAGAGGGGCGAGGGAACAAGGAGAGAGAGCATACATAGGTGGTAGCGGGTTGATATCATAGAAACTTACGAGTGAATATTCAACGTGGCCTCGCTACCATGTCGGACGGGTTTTGGCACCAAGACATTTAACTTGGGCGCTAAAGTTATTTGCAATTAGCTACGGATTTATGTCCACAATAATTAAGTTTCAAAGAGAATCTAGTATAAAATAATTTTAAGAAAACGATTGTAAAGAAAATCTAGGCAGCTACAGAACAATTGGTACTTATGGAGAAAAATTAGTAGTCTTGAATCTATCTATTATATTATTAAAGGAATAGAAAAAGGAGTCTCCACGTTCGCTCTCATGGCCTAAAAATTCTCACATTAATCGGAGAAAAGAAAAAACAGAGTCCATATAGAAACGCAATTTAGAAATAGCTAAAATTCGGAAATAATAAGTACGGGATATTAGAAGAGGAGATTAGAGTACATATAGAAATATAATTTAAAAATAGTTGAAATTCGGAATTAAAAAATAAGAAATAGTAGAAGAGGTGACTAGAGTCCATATAGAAATACAATTAGGAAATAACTGAAATTTGGAATTAAAAATAAGAAATATTAGAAATAGAGTATAGAGTCCATATAGAAATACAATTAGAAAATAATAGAAATTCGGAATTAAACATAAGGAATATTAGAAGTAGAGTATAGATAGTCCATATAGAAATACAATTAAGAAAAAAATAGAAATTCAGAATTAAAAAATAAGGAATATTAGAAGTAGAGTATAGAATCCATATAGGAATTTAAAACTAACTAAAATTCGGAATAAACATAATAAAATTAAAAGTAGAGTTTAGAGACCGTATAAAAATATAATTTACAAATAACCAAAATTCGAAATTAAGAAAAAACATGGGAAGAAGAGTTTAAAGTCAATATAGGAATACAATTTAGAAGTAACTGAAATTTGAAATTAAAAATTAAAGATTGAAAGATGAGTTTATATAGAAATACAATTTAGAAATAGCTGAAATTCGAAATTAAAAAGTAAGGAATATTAGAAGAGGAGACTAGAGTCCATATAGAAATACAATTTAGAAATAGTTGAAATTCGAAATTAAAAAATAAGGAATATTAGAAGAGGTGACTAGAGTCCATATAGAAATACAATTAGGAAATAACTGAAATTTGGAATTAAAAATAAGGAATATTAGATGTGGAGTATAGAGTCCATATAGAAATACAATCAGGAAATAATAGATATTCGGAATTAAAAATAAGAAATATTAGAAGTAGAGTATAGAGTCTATATAGAAATACAATTAAGAAAAAAAAAGAAATTCGGAATTGAAAAATAAGGAATATTAGAAGTAGAGTATAGAGTCCATATAGGAATTTAAAAATAACTAAAATTCAGAATAAACATAATACAATTAAAAGTAGAGTTTAGAGTTCGTATAAAGATACAATTTACAAGTAAATAAAATTCAAAATTAAGAAAAACATGGGAATAAGAGTTTAAAGTTATAATATAGGAATACAAAATTCGAAATTAAAAATTAAAGAATATTGAAAGATGAGTTTAGAGTCCACATGGAAATACAATTAGAAATAATAAAAAATCAGAAATAAAAATAAATAATATTTGAAGAAGAGCATAGAGTCTATATAGAAATACAATTTATAGAAAATTCGAAATTAAAAAAAAGAAATATTAAAAGACAAGTCTAGAGTCCATATAGGAATATATATAATTTACAAATAACTAAAATTTGATATTAAAAATAATTAATAACTAACACGTATATAAAATACAATATGAATATTACCCATTAGTAGTTTTGTAAAGTTATTGCAAAATTTAAAATTATGCTGTCATTTTAATATATTTGAATAATATAATGAGAAAACATATATACTATTATATGAGAGAAAATATAATGATGCTAGCCGCGCAATCTGCGCGGGCTACCATGCTAGATACTCATGAAAGCATAGGTCATTACTGGAAACTCGCAACCCCTGGTCCAACCTTGTCAATTGGCAAACATTGATTGCAGGGTGTCATAAAAAACAAAGAAAAATATTTGTAAATCCCTTTCGAATCCCCGATATTGGGCCAAAGAGAAGCGAAATCCAATCCAAATTTGAGGAGTGGTACTAGGTGTTATATGAGTCAGGGTGGCGATCGACAAAAAGAGCTATGGTGGGTTTAAAATGTGTTTCACATTTTTTTTTGAGAAAAAAGTTCCGGTCATGCATACCAAAAGTGACATGTAAAAAGATAAACCCAAATACATGGTCCCTTCACGAGAGAACTAATAATTGAATTATACATGCTAGGATTAGAGACAAGCCAATCAACCCGTGGGTGACCCCGCAAGACCCTGGAATGTGAATTGCCTTTGTAAAAATAGTCCATTTTGACAATATAGGTCTAGTTGGTCCTGTTAAACTAAACCTTAGTCATTTCCAATCTCTCACTAAGGCGCCACAGCCCACAAGCACCCTCGCGTACGCGCCGTTCGTCGCGCCCTCTCGCCTCCGTGCTGTAGCACCACGCATCTTACCGCGCCGGAGCGCCGGTCGTCACCGAGCATCCTCATCTCTTGTATCGTTGGGGTCTTCGCCGCACCACCTCATCATTCATCGCCTCGTCACCGAGCCGGCTCGTCTCTCGTAGCTGTCGGTCATCTGTTCTTAACAAGCGACCTGTTTGATGCTATCCGCATACGTGTTGTTCCAAAAAAAATCTAACTTAAGTAGTGTATTATTCTAGTTCATCAAGCAAGTAAAAAATATATTATGTCGCCTAAGCTTCAAATAAAATGTTCTCTCGAATTACTCGTATGATATACGATCCGATTACAACGGCGTATGTAACAATTAAAATCTTTATAAAATAACCTCACATGATTATATTTTGACTAAAGATTACAAATTATTTTTATAAATATAACCAAACAACTTTCATTCCCCACGATCCGATCATTTGAAAATAGCACACAGTTAAGGTTAGATGGCAATAATAGAACAGACATCTTATTAGCAAAAAGAAAAAAGAATTTACCAATGTTCCTAGTCATTTAAAAAGCCAATACTGCAAAAATAAAACCATAATAAAAAAATCAAAATTAAGTTCTAAAATTCAAAATCTGGTATCTGCTCATAAGCTGAAAGACAAACCACGGAAAAGTTTATTAGATATCGCAGAAAGGAAGAAGTATAAATATAGCAGTGGTATGAGATCAGCAACGCTCGATGTCGACGCGCCACAGGGTGGTGTCGAGGACGGTGAAGACGCAGACGTCGCCGGACCTGACGCCGTTGTCCTCGCAGAACCTCCTCCAGCCGGCTCCCAGCAGGTAGCAGGCGTCCTTGTACCGACGCCCGGTCACCTCCCATGATCTGCTGCTGCTGCTGCTTCCTCCTTGATCTCCTTGCGTTGATGTCGTGTCGATCATCATCAGCGTGATGCTGCTCTCCTCTACGAGACCGATCGACTCGCAGAAGGTCCTTGCGAGAGACTGCATGAATGCAGGCATTGCAGAGATGATTCATATAACTGATGGTTTCAGATGAATTTATGATTGGGGCCAGTTCTAATTGAAGGAGTTGGTCATGTCATCTGGATTATTGACGCGGATTATTTGTTTACACTTTGCTTCAAAAAGATTCAAGTTATGTAAGAATTTTTTACTCGGTGCTGTTTGGGCCACTTGTTCTTCTGAATATCATTTGTTGTCATTAAATTAAATCTAAAAAATAGTTATGAAAAGTTAAAAAATATTTGATATTGATACAATTATATTTTTAACTTTTCATAACTATTTTTTAGATTTAATTTCCATCTAGGGATGAAGACTTTTTCCTTGTAACAACAACATGATAATATCAGGAGAGGAATAGTTGTGCTTACGAGAATGCATCTTTCAAGAACATATTCATTGATCTCCTTCTTTATCCAAGAGCGCGGTCCAATCTCGTAGACAGATCTGGTTTTTCTCATCCTTTTTGTTTCTCTGTCACTTGTTCTCCCTTTGTTGCCGCTGCCCTTTCTACTGCAAGGCATTTCCTGTTGGTTTCCATCATCTTCACCAAATCTACTCTTCTTCTTGTTATTACATTTCCTTCTAGAAAAAGAAGGTGCTTCCTGTTGCTCTCCAGTACCTGTAAATGTTGCGAAGACAGAAAAAATGAATCAAATGACAACATATTTCCAAGACATAATTCAAAACACAAACTATAACTGATGGGGATTCGAATACGAAAAACAAAATTGCTTGCTCACCTTGATAAATGCTGATGCCCTTTGCCTTGAAATCTTTCTGGCGTCCATTGGGCCCAAAAACACTGATTTTGAACACCAGGTTTCCCTCATACCTGAAGATCACGACGTCGCCCCGAGAGATACCATGGAATGACAAGAATTGTAGCCATCCACCCCCTAAAAACACGCCCGATTGATCCTTGTCGAGCTCGACGCGCCAAGATTTGCCGAGGGGACTTAAGATGATAGCCATGTTGCTGTTCAGGTTCTCTCCAGTGATGTAGTCTCGTACAAACTTATCAGGGATCCTCTGTAGGAAAGGCAGTGAAATGTGCATCGTTCATGATACATCTCAACTCTAAAATATTCAGAAAGGCATTTTGTTCGTGCCACTAATTAGCTAGATAGCTGATATTATCGCTCTTTTAAAGAATAAATAATATTTTTGTCACTAAATATATGGATTATTTCCCTCTGTTTTAGCCAGTGAAGTGTATCATTGACATGTGGGCCATTGTGAATTGCACCATGATGAAATAGAAAGAGGAACGTTAAGGAGGCTAAAAGATGGATGACAAAATTGACAGGGCTGGCAATTACTATAAACTAGAGGAATAAGTGATAATTTTAGGCTTTTTTTAATGTCACAAACAAAATATTACTTAGGTAGTACTGCCTCCTATCATGAAACATGCATGTTTTGAATAGTCCCACATTGATTGTGTAAGGATAAGAGACCTAATATATAAATGGGGGAACCCCTCACCTCAATGACTAGCTTTTGGGGTGGGAAAGACCATTTACGATCCTACACCATGTTGGTTTCTAGACATGTTTCCAGTCATCTTAAAAAACCTTTAAATACAATATCGTTTTCAATTTTTGATTGGATAATTACAAATTAGGCATATAGATTTGTCCCTAAAAAATATTTTCACAACAGTATCATTGTATTAAGTTCTTAAAACGCTTTGTATCAGAAATTAGCAGTAAATATTTGCATATTGAAAAATGTACCGATGTCCAAAACAATTTGTTCTTTGTGACAGGAAAGAGTAGCACAATAAATACTAATAGAAGCAAAAGAAAGTGACTGGGATCGATGAGTTTGTGTACCATCTTGTCCATTATACCCGGCAGAAGTACCGTCAAGAACTGCGGCTTACGTGAAGTGTCTGTTGCCCTGCCCGCTTCTGAATGTCATAGCTAAAAGAAGACGTTATTTACAACTCAAAATTAAAACTGAAACTAGAAGATTATGGCAGACCAATGGTGGTAAAAGAGCAATTAATAAGAGATATTATAGGCCCAATTTCAGAATATATATTGTTCGAATTGCTGTAGTGGATTATGTAAATCGATACAAATTAAATATCTTAACAAATAAACTTAACAAATACTACCTCCATTATTTATATGTCACTGTTGACTTTTTCATAAGGCTTAACCATTCATCGTATTAAAAGAATTAGTTTAAATATGTAAAAGTATATAAGCTCAGGTTAGAGGTTTATTTGAAGATAAAATAAGTCACAACAATGCAAATGAATTTATAAAATTTTTTTAATAAGATGAATAGTAAAATGTTATCTAAAAAGTCAATGGTGCTATATATTAAAAATATAGTACATTTTTTTGAGAAATTTTTTTAAGGCATGGAGCACATAATCCACATCATTAATAATATAGTGTATTGAGTTACATGCACCGACTAATTTAATAAAAAAAACCTTAAGCTGATGAGAAAAGTCGAGCAATTCACTTCATATTCTAACACTCCCCACCATGCGAGACAGCCTCAAGCCTCAAGCACGAAACAGAAGTGGGCTACAATTTACAGGATTTGAACCAATCTAAAACTTAAATTGACGAGAAAAGACGAACAATTGATTTTATATTCCAATAGGTAAAATAGCTAAAAAGAATATGGCCTAAAGCCCTAAACAATTAATGCAATCTAATCATCTTGTTATATACTTTCTTTCGGAAAAAAGAGAGAACATCTTGCAAGTAGAATACCAAAGTTCAATTTGATTAACTACTCCATCTCTGAAGTAGCCATTCAAATTAAGTACAAAGTTTATACAGCAATTCAAATTTTAACTTTGGCACCATGAAGAAAGCATCATCCAAGACAAATAAATTTTTTGCAAGCAAAATCCCTTGGATTACCTGCAGGGGGAGCGCCGAACACCCTGAGGCAGCAGGTGGTGTCGAACGCCTCGACGGCGAGCACGCCGCCGCCGTGGCGGAGCACCACGAACCACCCCACGCCGAGGCCGTGCGCGGCGGCGAACTCCGCCCACCCGCGCCCCAGGAACGCTCGGCCGTCGCCGTCCCGGACGACCCCGACGTCCCAGGCCTTGCCGAGCGGGCTCGCCACGCGCGCCGTCGCCGCCCGTGGCGCGCCGCCGCCGCCGACGCCGACGCCCAGCTGCGCCGCGAGCTCGTCGCAGATGCGCTGCATTCACAGAGACATGAGCCACCCACGAGAGTAGGGCGCCGCGGCCGGGGCGTGCCGCAGGCGCGCGCCGCGCGGCGCGCCATGGAAGCAATAAAGAAAGAAGGTGGCAATGGCATGGCGACATGGCGTGGCGTGGCGTGGCGGCTTCTGCTTACCATCTTGCGGAAGGAAGAAGGCACGAGAACCTTGAGCTGCGTCGCCCTCGCCGCGCCGCGGCCGCCGCCGCCGCCGCCATGGTCACCGCGCGATCCCATGGCGGCCGCCGGCGAGACGACGACGCGAGGAGCCTTTTCTGCGGGGCGGTGGTGCTGCGAAGAATCAGGTGTGATCATCGCTTCGAGATTCTGCGGCGCATCGCGTGTCGTCGTCTATTCAAACTTGAGCACGGATTTATCGGGGCTAATTCAATTGCTGCGTAACAAAAAGATATGCACCCAAATTCAAATCAAGTTAGAAATATAGGAAATTAACATGCGCATATTCATACGAACAATGGAATTAAAGTAGTATTTAGGTGAGAGTATTTAATTTTTTTATGAGGAAGTTTTCGGTGATGTTCAGATTATAGCCAAAATAAATATTACCAAATTATTGCTAAAACTTTAGTAAGTTGGAAATATTACCAAAATTTCGACAGGATTTTTTTTATGTATTTACCAAAGTTTAGCAATAACTAGATGGCATCAACCTGAATAGCCTCTTCATAAAGGAAGTTCTTTTCACAATGAAGGTTTCGTACATATAATAAGACTTTCACATGACAATGCTATCATCTGAGTTTCATATTTTTTTATAATACTGGAAAAAGATACCCGTGCGTTGCAACGAGTGAAGACTATTTTAATCTTATTATTATTGTATGGTTTAGCTAAGTTGAAATTCACTGTGGGAATTTGTGGACCCCCGATTTTGGAAATCGGAAATCATCTATGTTTATCCGTACCAATCCCTGGATCAGTAGTTGGTACACACATACATAGTTGAATCACAACATATCACGAATGAATTCAGGCTAAAAGAGTTAAATACTTACATTAGGGCCAGGTAGGCCAACAACTACCAGAGAACAACAGCGGAAGACAAAATAATATAAGGGCCCGGTTAACATGCCACAGGCAGTCGACCGGGGAACGAGACCTAGAACAAGACCGCACTCCGATCATCTTGTTGGATACGCAAGCGTACCGACAAGGGCTTCTCTTCAACACTCTCCTAAAAGATATATGAATAGCAAAGGTGAGTACCAACCGTACTCAGCAAGCCACCACAACAACAATGCGTATGATAGAGGGTATTTCAAGGAATGGCTTCAGGTTCTTTTGCATAAAGCTAATTTTACAATTTTTTTCACAAGCCTAAGACCTAGCATAGACTGATCAAGTTTTAATACCATTGTTCACATTAAACAATGACGGTTCTGTTCACCATCCATTGTGATCCCAAGGATAGCTTCCCGCCATTGAGTCGTTATGATTTTTCTGAGGACGTCCACCTTCCCGCCTCTCAGGAAGTGGCTCCATCAGCATAAAATTCATCATGCAATATCCCATCCCCCACAAGTTAAGAATTTAGAGTCTAGCCAAGTGTAATACATGTCCCAGTGCTCAATAACCGCGAGCACGGCTATTCGAATAGATTTGGTTTACTCACACTGCAGTGGATGTACACTTTACCCACACTCCGTGACTGCCCAACACATGAGCCTCGTCCCAACACATGAGACACGTCACGGCAAAGCTTTTCGATAACCTCGCATTGGCAGTACCCGCTCCATGAACTTTACATCCTCATGCACTCTAGGCGTACACGGTTTCTAGCAGTGAGAGGAGTTCTGGCGTACCCGGGAAGGAAAGACTCACACATGCATTAAGTTATAATTATGTTTAATTTTTCTCATGGCAGTCCTACCGATGGCGACACCACTGTAGACACCCGCCTCGCGGTTCTACCAATGGCTACCCCACCGTAGAGCCCCTGCCTCACACATCAAGAAACCACTATGCATGGATACTGCCTCCGCTCAGCTATCTATTCCGCTAGGTCTATACCCATACGAGAAGTGCGGTTGTACGGGGGTCGTTTCATGCTTAACTTCATGGCTCGGTCCTTAATTGACCGGGGATGGTACTAGCCTTTTCCAGATACCACCCAAGTCCTCCGTCCGCCCCAGTCGAAAACAGTTGTTTAATTTTATTTCTCCTTTCACAAATCATGTCATCAACATCATGGCAATGTGGCGCTCATGTCTCCACATGCCGCATCTCAATTACCTTCCCAAAGGTAATTGCCCAAGCATATAGCATTTGATAAATATGAGTATGCATGATTCTAGAATAGCATTTCTAAGCAATTGTCATAGTTGACTAGGGACTCATACGTAAACATGGTTACAAAGATTTAAGGGTAAACAATAATCAAGGCATGGCATAATCACAAGTGGGATGTTCATCATTGGATGCAATTTTATTTGTAAACAAAACAATTTCACAATTGGGATCAACATGTTCAAGGAATAGTGATGACTTGCTTTGCTCAGGATAGTCCTTATTCTTGATATAATTCTTGATCAACCTTCACCTCCTGGAAGTTGCTAACATTGCCTCACGACTAACCGATACACAAAGTCTATAATACACGAGAAAAACCAATATTCAAGCAACAATCAAATATGCACAAACAAAATATATTTGTTGAGGTTGAACCTAAGGTTGCTCATATTATTCGCGCTTGCTAATGGGTTCCAACATGCTAAGGGCTAAAGTTTCTTAATCTTTCTGTTATCATGGTGGTCTATTTAGGAGCTAGCCAATGTAGTATGAATGAGATACGTATCTGGCTACTATGTGGTTAAGTCTAGCAAATGGCTATTCATGCATCTATCTAAATAGAACGGTTATACACTAGAGGTTTTGTTGCCGGATGGATTTGGATCGGTCAAATAATTACTGTGAATCATCTGTATTATTATTTTATTGATGGAGGCTTTATTTTAATTATGTACATATTTTACTTGTCAAAATAAATTATAAAGGTTAACAATTACCCTTGCTTTGTATGTTAGAATTGTTTAGGTTAATCATATTATGGTTACAGATTATCCCATCACATAATTTTACAATGAATAATCCTAATTTACAGTTGAACTATAATTATAATTATATGAGGTCAAGATTTATAACTAGTATTTATCTAATATACATGTTTATCATACACTCCCTCTTAATTTCATATATGCAACACGCAAATTAATACTATACCGTACCACTATAATGGGATGTATAGTATATGTGTAAGCAACAATATCTTATTATTGGATCATATATTTGAGTAGTTTCTTTTTACTGTAAGCTATACAATACATGTTGATTTTAAGATGGCTCTATTTGGTTAACTAATGGATATCAACCGACTATATATATATATATTCTACTTCACATGACATTGTATCAACTAATTTTTTTAAGTGGTCCAAATACAACTAGCTTTGTGATTACTCTCCTAAACAAGTTAAAGACTCATCTATGTGTTTTTATATTTTAGTTACAAAATATGAGGCTAAACTTTATGTAAATAATTTATAAGTCATGGAATTAGTTATATTTGGACATAGGCTAGTAAATGGCACTAATATTTTCCTTTACACCCATTAATTTGAAGGATTGATTATAACTAATTTATTTGGTTGCTACAGTGACAAGACATATTAAAGATAATTATGCTACTGTA